TTATGTGCTATTCTCGTAATTCCACACAGTAATGCTGAGTGCGAGAGAGTCTTCAGTGTTGTGAAGAAAAACAAAACTATGTTTCGTTCTTCAATTTCACCAAAAACTCTAGAAAACATTTTAATTGCTAAATGTTATGAGGAAACTAATTGTTATGACAGGAAATTTTCCAAAGAATTTTTGGCTAAAGCCAAAAAATGCACTCTAAATTCATTGCAATAATTTTTTTTTGTGTAACATTAAGTTCTTGTTTTATGTTTCCTAATAAATTTTTTAGTTACTACTTAATTGAGATTTACTAATGTAAGTACAATTTTCTTTTTTCTATTTGTATAAATTGTTATTTTTTTAATATCAAAGCATGATATTAATTCTTCGTGTTCTTCTGAATTTTGGAGAAATCTCTGCATTTATCTTAGCCGTGGGGCGTGTCCATGGATTACTACTTTTTAATTATTTATAATAATTGCATACTCTTAAAAATTATCTCTACATATTAGAAGCCAGTTATTGCCTTTCAATGAATACTCACTGTGATCACAAGATAACAATGTAAAAATGTAAAAACTCAAGTTAAACATATTCTATGTAAAACTTAGATTCTTAGCAAAACAGACTTAGTAGACTTGAGACTTAGCAAATAATACAAAACAACTTATCACCTCTGGTGCTTTAATGCCGTTATTGGAACTTTAAAGTATATAACTGGTTGCAACTGAACTCTACAAAAAAGCCTAACTTTCAACACTTGCCAAAGCCTACATCAGGCCTTTCAGGTTAAATCAACGTTACCTGGCCTTTCATTTTACCCTTTGCGGCATGGTGGGTCAATATATGTCCCACCTAATTAATATTTATTTTCTCATTTTAGCAATTTCCGTTAGAAATTTTCTAATCTTTTAAAAATAATCTATTTTAGTTATTATTTTTCTCAGTAGATGTTACTACTATACCAGGGCTTAAGTTTATAAGCAAAAAATATTCAAAATAGGATCACAAGAGTGATATCCATGTATCTCGCATTTTTCCAATATTTTAAAAATTTTGGTATACAATTTATGATATGTATGATTCTTTTTAATATTCAAAGGTATTTTATTTTCAAAAATCTTAATTGGATTCAATATTTTATAACATTAATTTTGCAGTTGAAATAAGTGGGTTAAAATTTGTCCCACCACACACTTGAATTTCCGCTCAATAGATGGCAGCACTCACGATTATTTTTTTTTTCTTTTTTTTGCATCTACTTTTTTCGTGATTGCGCGCTTTTACATCCGTTGTATGCTCTGATGTGCTAAAATGTCTAGAAAAAATTAACAACTCAGGAAGCTTTGGATCTTTTTGCTGAACTGCCATCCGATTGCGACTCAAATGCTTCAGATGTCAGTTCTGATTCAGATGAAATTGAAATCCAGGAGAGAATAACTGAGGTTGAAGTTATTGCTGAAGAAGAAAGGGAAGTAGTTATAATTTGTTTCGCTTTTTAAAGACACAGACCCATCTATGCATGTGGCACTGTAAATATGGATCGGAAGTATCTACCCAAAAATTTTAAAAGACAAATTTATGTCAAGAGAATATATAGACTTTTCAGTTAGCGATGATTCAATTTATTGCATAAAATGGAAGGATAAAAGATCCGTTTCTATCCTGTCTTGCTTGGAAAAGGCAACTGAAATGAAAGAAATTAATAGAAAAGAACGAGATGGAAAGACAAAAAAAAAAAAAAAAAAAAAAAAAAAAAAAGTACTGTGCCCAAACAGCATTATTTCATACAATAAGAATATGGGATATGTCGACTGATTGATCAACTGAAAGGACTATATGAAATAGACCGCAAAAGCAAGAAATGGTGGCACATGATTTTTTTTTTTACTTTTTAGATGCGAGTATAGTAAACACATTTATTCAAGTTTGTTCGCGAACCTGATCATGATGTAAAAACAATGAAAGATTTTCTTCTCTCAGTTATAGAAGGTCTAATGGCACTTGCAGGCAAGAAAGAGCTGAAAAGAAAACTGAAATCCCCAGTTCAAATAAAAACTAAAAACCCGTTCGTACAACCAGAAAAAGACTAAAAAATGTAAGTAAAACGCCAAAGAGAACGAGCAGGAGAAGATGTGCATATTGCAGCATATCGAAAGAAGAACGACGAACATTTTGGATCTGTGAAACATGTGAAGTGCCTCTATGCTTACAAAAGAATGAAACAACATGTTTTTCAAAGTTTCATGAAAAATGATTTTTTTTCAATTTTAATCATTAGTTAAAATTTGTCCCACCACACACTTGAATTTCCGCTCAATAGATGGCAGCACTCACGATTATTTTTTTTCTTTTCTTTTCCGCATCTACTTTTTTCGTGATTGTGCGCGCTTTTACATCCGTTGTATGCTCTGATGTGCTAAAATGTCTACAAAAAAATTAACAACTCAGGGAAGCTTTGGATCTTTTTGCTGAATTGCCATCCGATTGCGACTCAAATGCTTCAGATGTCAGTTCTGATTCAGATGAAATTGAAATCCAGGAGAGAATAACTGAGGTTGAAGTTATTGCTGAAGAAGAAAGGGAAGTAGTTATAATTTGTTTCGCTTTTTAAAGACACAGACCCATCTATGCATGTGGCACTGTAAATATGAATCGGAAGTATCTACCCACAAATTTAAAAGACAAATTTATGTCAAGAGAATATATAGACTTTTCAGTTAGCGATGATTCAATTTATTGCATAAAATGGAAGGATAAAAGATCCGTTTCTATCCTGTCTTGCTTGGAAAAGGCAACTGAAATGAAAGAAATTAATAGAAAAGAACGAGATGGAAAGACAAAAAAAAAAAAAAAAAAAAAAAAAAAAGTACTGTGCCCAAACAGCATTATTCCATACAATAAGAATATGGGATATGTCGACTGATTTGATCAACTGAAAGGACTATATGAAATAGACCGCAAAAGCAAGAAATGGTGGCACATGATTTTTTTTTTTTTTTTTACTTTTTAGATGCGAAGTATAGTAAACACATTTATTCTATTTAAGTTTGTTCGCGAACCTGATCATGATGTAAAAACAATGAAAGATTTTCTTCTCTCAGTTATAGAAGGTCTAATGGCACTTGCAGGCAAGAAAGAGCTGAAAAGAAAACTGAAATCCCCAGTTCAAATAAAAACTAAAAAACCCGTTCGTACAACCAGAAAAGACTAAAAAATGTAAGTAAAACGCCAAAGAGAACGAGCAGGAGAAGATGTGCATATTGCAGCATATCGAAAGAAGAACGACGAACATTTTGGATGTGTGAAACATGTGAAGTGCCTCTATGCTTACAAAAGAATGAAACAACATGTTTTTCAAAGTTTCATGAAAAATGACTTTTTTTTCAATTTTAATCATATATAAATGTTTTTGAATCAAGTGCCAATTTTAATATTTTATTTAGTATCATATGTACGAGTATCAAATTTTAATCTTAAAAAAATATTCAAGAAAATATTTTCTTTTGTTCCTAAAATTTAAAAATATTAAATATATACTATGCAAAATGTGCATATGCAAAATTTTACAAGTCATGCATATATGCAATAAGTACAAAATGCATTTTAGTGTGTTTATTATGAATATTTTAGAATGCACGCTTTATTTTGTTTATTCATTCCACATATGATTTTTTTCCCTGCTATACACCAATATGCTATAAGACATGTGCTAGTTGCATGGTGGGACAAACGGTATCCCACCTCCACCCCCACCGTAAAAAATAAAAGCGCAGAATTTTTTCCAAGCCTTAAAGGCACTTAAGTAAGTCCATCTGACTTATTCTAAGGCATTTTTTTAAAGATTAAAATATATTTTAAATATGCGTGTCGCAAAGGGTTAAGCTATGCCGTTTGACATAAAATCTACCTGCTACTAAACCTTTAGACTGACCAAGTATGCGACAAAATGAGACATTAAGCTAACTGTTAGTAAAACGTAAATGTCACTTATTGTCTTTCAAATACGATCAACTATTGTAAGTGTAAAATATTTAATGCTACTTGATGAATTGCATAAAGTTTATTTTATTCTCAAACTTATTAATAATTATGTTCATTAATTCATGTTTAGTAATAATGGATGCTACTTAGGGATCTATTCTATTTTTAGGATGATGTTACAAAAGTGAAATTCAGATACATAATATTTTTAATTGAATTTATTCAGTTCCCATTTGCTCATAGGTCCTTTATTTTTTTCATTAATGGTCCTTAAAAGTACTTAATTTCCGTGTGCAGGAATGTGTATGAACCCTGTTGTACCAATTTGATACCAATTTGTTGCTACAGCCAAAATCTCATCATCATTATCTTCAGATTCACTTCCATCACTCAATAAATCATCACTTTTATCCCTGAAACTTTCTGATAAATTGGCATATTCAAAATCGTCATAATCATGCATTATCAAATAACTTTTATTAAACAAGTTACAAAAACACTTAGTAAAAATAAATTTATGGTTAACTGTTTACTTTTATACACTTATTAAAAATTAATTAATGGGTAACTGGTTACTTTTATGATAAGTAATGGAATAAAATGGATATATTACCTTTTTCACAACGAACAATTGGTTTATAAAAAGAATTCTTAACAAACTTCAATCATCAAAATGCATCATGTGGTTTACACAAGAAAAATGCTGCATAGTGGTGCCATCTGTGATAAGTTTTATTATAATATAGCCTATCTATTTTTTACTAGAATGGATCTCAGACAAGCATTGGAAATAAAATAGTCCAAGATACAAGATGCGTGAGACATGGCCATGTGCAAATTGAACAATATTTTTCGCCCGTGTCAGACACGGGACAAATGCGTCGAGGGGTTATAAAGCTGTCCTAGAGTTTTATATTTGTATAAATTGCAAAATGCATGTAAACCATATGATTATTTACCAAGTGTACCATGCAGAAGCTTTGTATTGCTAGAATCGTTTTTTAATTGGCTAAATATTTGTGTTTCAGGTATGTTCTGGAAGGCTACAATTCATTATCATGGTTATCACTGGATCCTTCCACTCATGACCGCCGTTCATGCCTGCCTGTTCACATTCAAGTTTTGATGCAACTTTATCAAGCAGTTGAAGCTCTCATATGAGATTGCAGCTAAAAGTCTTTTGACAACAGGGATCAAACATAGTCGTGACTGTAGCCATTTGCAGTCGGTTTTAAAGACAAATTGTGATTTTCTTCTTTTTTTCAGGATGCAGCACACGACGACATATCAGAGCTGTTTCGTATGCAGATATGTAATATAAATTGCCGTTGTAAAGTTCCAACATTTGAGAGAAAAAAATCATTCTGTGTGATATGAACTGCGCTGCAGAATATATTTAAGTGTATGCTTGCACATTTTATTCTCAAAGAGAACTAATTTGCCGGCAGCACGTGAAATGGTTGGTTCATCGAGAAGCATTTGCAGCTGTTTGCAGAATGTGTTAATTAAGCGGGAAATGAACTTTTGTTGCCGGCAATAGATTAAAAAGTATGATTACTATTTATTTTGTATATATAATAATAGGGCGTCTGCATCGTGTGTATTGGCGGTCGACGTCCTCCAACGCCAAAATTAGGATACGCTACTTATTAGAGTACCGTAGTTGAAAACCACGGAACTTAAAAAACTTTTCTGAACAATCGTACTTCGATCATTGATTTTGTACAGAGCAATGTACAGTGTCACAAGTATACAAATCTTTTTACAAATCATGTAACAAATTATATGTACATGTCCTTTTGTGTCATTGGAAGTTGTAGGAGCCCAAAACAATAAAAATGAAAACAAGGTAGAGATTGTATGGTACTGCCATCTTAGCAAAGGAGTGCTGGACTCTTGTTTTTACTATCTGCTATTGGTTCCCCACTGCCAGCAGCTTGATAACCTTTGCATTATTCAAATCATTAACTTTCTTTTACTTCTTATTTGTTTTAATATATAATGGCACTTTTGTTTTTAAAGTTGCATGTGGGAATAAGATAGCTTTTATGGTTGGCTGAGCTGTAAGTCTGGTTAATTCTGAGAACAAAACATATATAGATGTATACATGTGTTAAAATGAAAATAATTTCAGAGAATTACTTATAATGTGAAAATTTTTTTTTTGATGAATTGCACTAATTCAGAAGTGTCCTTTTAGAAATCTCTATGCAACTGAGTTTTAGAGACTGTACAGTTTAAAAAGGTCTATGCAATCTTAAAAGGGGCTTCTGGATGAAATCAAAACCCCTATGCAACTGTATAAAAGCTTGAATGTATATTTTTTTTAATCCTATTCAATTATGTGCAACCAAATTCATATATTTATATGTTGATTCATAACATTAATGCTTGACAATATAATTTATATATATATATATATATTTATTAACATGTGAATAATTTATTATTGTAAATTTAGGCCGAATTATTTATCCAGAAATCTTCATTTTTCATTGTTAAAAATTTGTTTCATATAAAAATTGAGCATGCAGCTCTGTGTAGCCTTGCCAGTTGATTATTAATATATGTTTTCAAACTTCTTATATGGAATAGTGAAGGTAAATGCAGGAACCAAATTAAATACTTTAGTCATTTAATTTTATATTATATTCCCGAATGTAAATTTGTATCACAAAATAATGATGTCTATTAATCAACAGGCTGTTTACAAAGCTTTCTAACGAAGTTTGTTTTTATTTTAGCTTTGCATGAGACTTTTTAAATTTACTTCAAATGTGTATAAAATTATATTGCAGATATACACAATTTTCAAATGAGGCATATTTTTGTAACTTAAAAAATAGTTATGTCATATGTGCACCTGCAATTAATCAATTTAATTTAACTATTCATTGTTTAACGGCAGTGTTAAACTATCCTGTGTAATGACTGACTCAGTGGCATTGACTAACATCTGTAGCTGTAAATTTTTTATGTGATTTGCCATCATGCATTTATCAGAGATATCAAAGTAAATCTTTAAAAAGTACTGTATTTCAACTAGCATTTTCCATCCATTCTTGTAGAAACATATATCAAGTACTAAAACGTTTATTTGCTGTTTAAGGGGAGCAGAACAAACAGAAATTTATGATCGTTAATGTTCTGCGTTAATTGGCTTCCTGTAATGTAAATAAATTTGTGAAATATTGATATGCAATGTAAATTCAAAAATGGAATCACGTATGAGATATAGCTTACTGGAAATAAGGACAAATCAAATCAGTTTCATATTGAATGAATTTGTATAAATGTAAATAATTGTTTTTTAAGCTTTATTTTTACCATTTATTAATCTTTTAACATAAAAATGTATATCATGTGGATACTGATACTTTAATCATCTTTTTAGCTCATTATATTAAAGTGAAATTAATTAAAATACCAAATGTAATATAATGATTTGATTATATAACTTATGAGATACCAAAAATTTGTGCAAAATATCGCAGAAACTTAAAAAGTATGATTGCGGGGGGGGGGGGGGAGTAATGGGGTAAAAAGGAATTTATGTGGAATATTATAGGGGATTATATTAAATAAAATTTGGAATCTTATTTCTAAAATGGAAAGAAGGATGTTAATCAACATATTGCAGAGTGGACTTTATTACTAACAGCCTTTAAGAAATCAAAATAAATAATTGCACTTAATATAAGTGGCCTCTATTTTTGCAGAATGAAAAAGCTGTAAGCTTTGATGCATATTTACGAAAAACTACAATTTAAAAATGTATTATAGCAATCATATAAAATTATATATTATCATTTATGTAAAGATAAATGAAACAGAATACATGCTTAACATGATCTGTGTGAATATTTTACTTTCAGTATTTTGTTTAGGCATATGTTTTATCATACAGTCAGGAAGGTTTGGTTTAAATTTATATCCATACTTTATTAATAAATCAATTCTGTAGATTAAAAAAAAGGGAGGGATAGAAATAAATATTTGCTACCAATGATCTTTCAGTTCTAGCTGACAGGAAAAACTTCTGTCTATATCTTGTGGTGAGATTCCACTAAATTGTTCTTTAGCTCAAACTGATTTACAAGTATTGGAAAAACTTAATTAAACTATCAGTAATCAGTGTAACTGAGAAGAATTCAGCATAGCATAGTTTTAATATCAAAATCTGCTAATTGTATTTGAAATATTCCCTGTAATGTACTTTACAGATAGATGAAGAATTTATTCAGTTTTTATTTTTTTGGGGGGGGGGCATTCATTTTAATCATGAAAAATTGCATGAGACTAAACATTTAATTTTAGCATAGTGATATGTTATTAATTTAAGAAGAGAATCTGATTTAATGATATTTAATAATATAAAAGTACTTAATGGTGCTTATTTATATATTTTCATTAGTTAATGGCATTTAAGAGGCACTTAAGTTTTGTAACAGACTGGTTGAATAGCATTTTTTAAAATTTAAAAGTACTTATAAGAGAGTCAGTATAAGTTGATTCTTATTTTATTTAAGAATTAGTATTGGTCTAGTATGTAAATAATAGAAACCCAGCCAAAGCATGGGCGTGCTACATTTCAAAATTAAGAGATTGTTTTAATAATTTTAGACAGTGGGAAAACTAAATAAAGCTATTAATAATGTTTTTTATTATGATTTATGTGTAAAATAAAACAATTTTTGAATATCTATCTAGCATTGAAATGAAAAATTGCATGAGACTAAACATTTAATTTTAGCATAGTGATATGTTATTAATTTAAGAAGGTTTTCTACTGTTTTCAATTAAAGTAGCAACACAGTATATCTGTTGAATTCAAGAGCTTAAAAAGTGTGTCCATTGAAAATTGTGGGAGCAATAATTGAGCTATGCACAAAAAAGTATCAAAGATTCCAGATCTACAGCTCAGCCTCCGTTTGAAGAATCATGTGGCACAGCTGCATATTAATGATTTTGTAAATAGTCATATATCTCATTTCATGCGCTGTGACATTGTGGTTCATTTACGAAGAGTAAAAGCATTACGAGTTTATTTGAAAAATATTCATAATGATCTCTGAAATGATTGTACTGATATGCCTATTTTTTAAACATTTTAATATCAGACTTTCCAACTTGTGCTTATTAATTAGTTCTTATTTGTCATATATTGAACTCATCAAAATATATATATTTTTCTCTGTAGTCATTTGTAATGCAAAATCCCTTCTAAGAAGCATTGTCTTTGCTGTAAGCAATGTGAATGTGCATTTGTTGAGAAAATATAATCATTCATTTGAATCCGGTGCGGTTTTACCTTGGAATCGAGGTATTCTTTTAAAATGCTTTCTTATTCCTGCTTCATTATTTATTGTTTTAAAATTCTTTTACAATTGTGATTAATGAGATTCCAAACATTTATTGCAATTGTTTTAGTTAAGGAGTTTGTTGCTTTTAATGTTTTTACTGTATCATTAAGAAAAAATCCATAATGTAAAATAGAAGTACAATTCCTCTCACTTGTACAAATTGAAATCTATTTTTTATTATTTATACTGTATTTACACAAAATGATTTCATTTATTCACTCACTATTATCTACTTTGTATAACCTTTCCCCTTCCCTCTCGTGTACAGCAGAATAGAATAAGGTAAAGATTGAAAATTACCACTTTAAATATAAAAATAAAAAAAAAAAAAAAAGAAATTTTGTTTGAGACATAAACACTACAAGTGTACAAATGAGTTTCTTTTTGTTTATAATAATAAATCTATTTAACTGGTTTGTGTGTTGCCATATTTATTTCTGTTTTTGTAGATCATAATTATATTTGTAAGACAGTTCTTTTCTCTGAATATATACACTGAAAATTTACTGTAAACATAGCATTTTGTTGCTAAATTTTAAGAAAATATTTCTGACATTCTTGTACAAATTTAAAAACATTTAATAATTGCAAAGTTTCATGCTGTCTTTCAGAAGTAAAATATTTCTAGGTAAATACTCATCTTGAAACTATTTTGATGTCTAAAAATATATTTAAACTTAAAACAAATTAATAAGAAGTTTGCACTTGTTGGTTGTAGACTAAACAAAGCAGTTTCATCTAGTTTATCAAATGTTCTGGTGTTTTCCTGTTCTTGATAAAAATAAACAGTTGAGTTGTTTGAAAAATAATATGGGGGAAAAATAAAATTGTAAATTTACTTGAATGGGACTTAAAGACTATGAGACTAAGACACAATAAACAAGTCATGAATTAATTATTGACATTAAATATGAAAATTAAGATATAAAATTTTATGCAAAATAAAGACTGATGTTTTCTGAATCTGTTCATGATACATTTTTTAATTGGTGTAAAATTGCCAATTACATGATGAGAGATGTACAGTATTGAATGAAATCGATAAAGCCAATAGTTGGCCAAAAATTATAAAGGCTGAAACCTGAAAAGGTATCTTGCAGAAAAATAACTTGTGGTTTAGAAACTTATTGAATAAAGCAGTCCTTGAGTTTTATAGTTTTTACTATTTTAAAAGATTTCAAGTGTTTTTATTCATCGTTACTCTGCCTAAAATCAGAAACAAAGATCAGGGCTTCTCCAAGTGTTGTGATCTTGTATTGCTTAATTTAGAAAGTTACAGAAATTTTAGCAGAACTAAAAAATTTCTAAACAAATATCAGCTGAAAGAACAACTGTGTGACAAATTACTTGTATAGGACATTAGCTAATTTCTAAGCTTTTATTTGAATTAACCAGCTATTTTATGTTGGCTGTACTATATTCTGGTTTCGACCAGAATGCAAATTATTTAAAAATAAAAATATAGTGCTAAATTTTAAATTGTATCAAAGGGTTTTGACAGCCTAGCCTAGCTGTTAGAAGTTTTGCTGTTTGTAGTGAATTTATCAGCAAAGATTTGCTAGCTATTTATTGTTTTAAAATCCTTCATGAGTGGTTAATCAGGAGATATCATGTTTTAAACCAGGCTTTGCTAATACAGTATACAACATTTGATCCAACTTGAACTTGTGTTGAAAAGCTGTTGTGTACACTTAGGATAGCAGAGTTTCTTTCAATTTGTGTAACCATCAAGTCGATATATTGAATATTTTTGTTTGCCCTTTGCTCTGCTGTAGTTCTGCTTCTTCTAACAAGTCATAAAGGAGGATAAATTGCTGACAGTCTATTACAGTTAATGTGTGATACTTAAAATTGAATAGCATAATCATTAAATTTTATGATAGTGAAAGAGTGTTTGCACCAGCCACCAAACAAGTCACCATATAAGGTATTTCTCCCACTTCCCTAGTGTGCCTTCGTGGTGTAAAGGTAGCACGCTGGGACGGTATTCCAGAGGTCCGTGGTTCAATTCCCGGCGAAGGCGTTGATAATTTTTCATCTCTCCAGCCTCCAAAAAATATCCTAATCAGGGTTCGTACATATTTCTGCACAGAGAAATTAAGTACTTTTAAGGACCATTAATGAAAAAAATTAAGTACCTATGAGCAAGTAACAAATTAATAAATTCAATAAAAATATTATTTATGCCTGAATTTCACTCATGTAATACCATCCAAAAATAAAATAGATCCGTAATTAGGATGCATTATTATTAAACATAACTTAATTAACATAATTATTAATAAGTTTAAGCATACGATATATTTTACGAAAATTATCAAATGGCATGAAATATTTCACACTTATGATAGTTCGCATATTTGAAAGAATATAAGTGACATTTTATTTATGTTTTACTAATAGTTAGTTTCATGTTGATTTTTTTTATGTCTCATTACTTGCTCAATCTAGAGGTTTAGTAAATAGTAGGTAGATTTTATTGCAAGCGTCATAGGTTAAAATAAGAAGTGAAATCATAATTAGAATGATTTATAACAAAAGACTGGCTGTTGTCACCACTGCTCCTTGCCTAGAGAGAGACCTGCTGATCAGAACAACTGTGAGCCCAGTTGGCAAGTTTTGAAAGTTAGTTGGACTCTGTCTGTTGGAGTTAGTGTCATAGCTCTGTGTGGAGTTTCAGGGGTTGTAACCCAGTTAATATACTTTAAGGTTCTAATAAGCCACTAAAACACCAGAGGTGACACTAAGTTGTTTTGTATTATTTTAGGTCTCATTAGATATGAAGAATTAGTTTTACATGAATTTTTACATTTTTGTGTTTTATCTTGTACCATGCTAAGGATTAATGAAAGGCAATAACTCACTTTAATATGCAGAGATAATTTTTAAGGGTAAGCAGTTAATTATAAATAAACAAATTAGGTAGTTAGATAATCTTAGTCATTATGGATTGTCTCAATCTCACTAGTTTCTGTGTGCTTTATCTCCTAACTTGTCAACCTCTCCACAATGTACCTATGAAGGTTTACTTGATTTGGTAAGAGTTAAGTAGTCCAAATACTCCCGACAACATGAAGCAAGTTATCGCTATGTCTCAAAGTAACTACATAGTTTAAATATTTCAGACAAACATTTAAATAAGCCTCTTATTTAAAAAGAACTTAAAGGCATGTTCTTATGCTAACCAAATTCACATTGCAATTTATGGTGATGTAATTAAACAAGAACAATCAAATTCAAACAAAAAATTGTGGACTAGTGGTCAAAGACTATACAATTTAATTTAAATTTAAGCTGGATCAGTTACTCTATCGTCATAACAACTTCAAATGTCAGATTTAATTCAAATTTAATTAAAGATTTCTGTTATTCAGCAGCGATACTGCAAAGACAAAAAGTTACAAATTATCAGAGCTGGCAGGAACTAATGCAGCAAGCAAGCGTAAATTAAAAACACATTCTGTCTTACACACCTAAAACCTAAGTCTGAAAACTGCCTAAATGATTTGCATTCTGGGGTGGAAATAGAAATGGGAAATTATAAACAACTGGGTAACTTACATAATAATACCCGTATATATATTTGAAGAATAATTTTCTTTTTTTTGTATGTATTCGGTTTTTTTCTTCAACACGCTTCCTTTTCATTTTAGAATTTTTGGATTTAATTAAAGATTTCTGTTATTCTAAAAAACTAAAAATTACGTATAGAGAAAGCTGCTAATTTTATTTCTTTGGTAATATGAACAATCAGAAGAAATATGAAATATGGTAAATGCCAGTTGCAGAGTTTGTGTGACAGAATTTTTAGAATTTAGTGACACACCGAGCAACAAAATCTAGAAATGGCAAAACTTAGAATTTAGAGCAGGCACTGACTGGAAGCAGAATTTAGAAAGGCACTAGTCAGTAAAATTTAGGATCTACGGACATAAGTTTAATATTCCATGTAATTGCACCAGGTGAGAAAATGCCTAACATCAGACCTGTGTATGATGCATTAAGACATATGAGTTGAATCTTTTAAATTGCCAGTTTTCAATTTCTTTATTAATCAAAAAATTCCTGTCTATAATACCTGTCCATGTGATAAGATTAGAAGCATTTTTTTCCATGCTTGTGTCTAGTGAAAAGTAGAAAATAAAGGCAAGATAAACATGTTAAGAAAAAGATTCTAGTATCAGAAATAAAACACTCAAATATTATGTTTTCATTGATCTTCCATATGTTCTCCAAAAAGTAAGAAATTCATTGCAAACTTTCTCTAAAATACATCCATTACATGATAATACCATAGAGACATTTTTCATTTTGTCACATTTTTCCAGAATCTTCTGGAAACATGGGTCTATAAATCTTGCCTTCAAATCCTTCTAAATTTTCCAAGTTGCAATGTCTAATGTCCCGAAGAAAAATTACCTCTACCAATTTTGTAACAGCAAACAGCCAGAAATATTTTGGGAAAAAAAAAAAAAAAAAAAAAAAAAAAAGACGGAAAATGTGTAAAATTAAATTTATAGAGAAGACTGATGCATATTCTGAGACAATTACATAAGAAAACTCTTATCATGAAAAAATTGAAAAGAAGATATTTTTAAAGAATATGTTATTTTTTAAATATAATTTCAATATATTACCATTATTTTAATGAAATTTATCAATGTTACAATGTTTAAAAAAATTTTCTATAGAAACTGATCTTAAAAATAGCGAAAATGTTAATACGTCGCCAAATTTATAGCCTCTAAATAAAAGAAATCACATCCCCAAAAGCGGAAAGTTGTTTAAGAGCTCTTCATTAGAAAAAGTGAAATAATGTCGAAATACTTGTTTCACTTCTTGCTCAGAAACTCGAGTATTCCACCATTTATATTAGAAATAGGAACAAATCATAATCCATTCAAATAACCATATTTATCAGTGAATCGCCAAAAATATGCCTCCAAATTACTAATTCACACTCGAAATGGCAGTCATAAAAACAGACAGAAATTTCATACGATTAAAATTAAGCACCTTCTGCCGATTTTGGTCGAAATTAAGGACTTTTAAGGACCAAAAATCGATTCCAAAAAACTTAAGGACGGTACGAATCCTGCTAATCTGCTAATGCTACAAGTGGTGCCCAACTAAAAGGGTTGGTTGTGGATAATGAATCTTCGCACCCAGAATTTGGCAACTAGGTCCCCTAAAACCCTAGTCGCCCTTTAAAAAAGGGAGTATATACGGTATTTCTCCCACTTCCCTGGCATGCCTTCATGGTGTAACGGTAGCACACTGGGCTGGTATTCAAGAGGTCCATGGTTCGATTCCCGGTGAAGGCGTTGTTAATTTTTCATCTCTCTGGCCTCCAAAAAATATCCTAATGTCTATACAACCATAACCCCCTCCCCGATTAGCATCTCAAAACAGGGTT